AGACGATGAAATGTTTCGTTGCTCTCTGATTTCCCTTTCTTTGTATTGAATTAAATAGTAGTCTTAGACAGTATTGCACGAGGTTTTTGTGTTTACAATAATGGTGTTCTACTTCTACTACAGCCGCAATTTGTGATCACGCAACGTTAGGTAAACCTAAACGATTTCGACAGACAGTAGATTTTATGTTGACAGATGAGAATGACGGTAAACAATAATGTAGAAATGTTCCTTTTCTACTTCTGAGTGTGGAAAATTCCGAGACACAGTAGACTGTTCTTCGAAGTTGCTGGCGTGTAAGTATGACATTAGTTATCACTTTCCATTTTGTCATCTTTTAAAGCTGGTCGGAAAGAAGAACATAAATTAATTCTAATTTTCAGAACCTTTCTAAGGGACGATTACATGGGCGAGTTGTCCCGGCTAAGCGAGTTGACTCGCTTTGCCGAGTTGACCCGCTTCCCATATGTATTGTCTATTATTTTGACATTACGATTACATGCAAAGCGAGTTGTCTCGCCTTGCCGGGACCGCGGCTGTAGCTTGCCGAGTCAACTCGCTTAGCCGGGATAGAAATTGCCCACACATCCCATGTAATCGCTTTTTGCCGAGTTGGCTCGGTTAATTGGGGAATGGTCCATTCAAAAGTCAACTCGCTTTATAGGCAGGACAACTCGGCAAAGCGGGACAACTCGGCCCATGTAATCAGCCCCTAATTGTTACTGAAAAAAGGAATAACATTGATTCAATAACTGAGACGTTCAAATGGGTTACAGCTGTTTGCGCTGAATTGTTTTGTATTATATCAAAATATTCGCATATTTTTATACAATAAGAAATAATATAAATTCTTGAAGCATAGCCTTGAGCAAAGTGACCCAGGGTCGGCCTGAAAAAGTTGATTTTTTATACAGAACCGTGACTTACTTGAATTCTAGTTTCATTGATAATTGTTTCTAAACTTAGAGACAATTCAGGTTGCTAGAAAACTATACTGAGCGAAACTAACGAAATATTGATATTTGACATCACAGCGAGTATACATTTCTGATTTCTTTCGGCCAGGGCCCGGGGTTTTCCCCGAGATTTAATTCGTACATTCTAAGTTTCTAACGAAACTTTTATAAAACAGTTTAAAAACGATGAAAATTCTGTCTGTAGTATGACTAATTCTGAGTTTTCCAATTTCATTGAACATTGTTATTTGTTAAACAGGTAAAGGTATTTGTTAAAGAGGTAAACAAAGCGAACAGAGAGAAGATTGTTGAGGACTATTGGCATTGAGGCGCGCAGAAGACACTGGACACACTGGCATTGAATGACTCTATCCGTGAAGCCAAACTGTACTCAAACAATTTGATTCAAGCGCCAAACCAAAGAATAATGATGAAAGACATATATTTACATAATCAAGCTTCATTCAGTGTAGTGTAAGGTGGTTTTATTTGTTAATATCAACAATTAGGTTTACCGATAAAGTATGCTCGATTTCGACACATTTTCAAATTTTACAAAGTTTGCGCGCTTGTCATTTTTGTCAAATGGTAGATCAGAAAGATATTATTGGCGATTTGTGTTGACTAATGTTAGTAGTTTATAGAAAAGTTAAAGTCATGTGCCAATCAAGTGCCACGATTTTGAAATAAGCTTTCGAAGTTGACATATTTTGAGACGATATCCTTTATCCGTTCAGGAGAGTCAATAACTGCGCTGTTTTCTATTTTATACCAAAGAATAATGATCTAAGTCATATCACCCGCGAAAATAGAAGGATAAGTCTATATTTCTGAGCAAAATGTTTGAAATTTAGGTATGAATTTGATTTAAAAAATAGCGCTGAAAATATGTCGATATTTTGCCTTCATTCGGAGTTCAAGTTGGTTACCAGCCGATCGAACATCAATCGCCCCCCAAAATAATTTAAAGGAAATTTGAGTAAAATGAAATCGATTTTAGTTGTTCCCAAGGACAGATCTTCAAAATACTAGAGTATGAGAGAAATCTAGTTTTGAGCCCCATATTGACCTGGAGGTTTTTACGGAGACAGCCTCTGAAGTCTGAAGTCCCTTCACGGCTTCCGTACGAAATGTTCCGGCCCAAGTGTAAACACCTCGCCTTGTTATTAGGGCGCTAGTTTCCCGCCAGTTCGCGCGTCCTCGTGTTAAATATGGCGGATCAAACACGACCTCATGTGAGCGAAGGAAACAAGAAACAAAAGACCGATTTTATTTGGACCGATGATAAGATTCAACTACTTTTGGAAGCAGTGCTTTCTTATAAAACAACTTGCGAATATGAAGGTATTTGTTGGGAATCTGTGAAAGCGAAGTATCAAAAGATTATGGAAATTTATGTCGAAAGGTACCCAGGGCCAGACGCAACTGGAGCAAATATTACTGAATTTCCACGAGCTAATACGCCTGAGTTACTAACCAAGGAAAGGATTGCTGCTAAACTAAAAAGAGTAAGGACTGGCTACAAAAAGGCAGTTGATGCAGGCCGTCGCAGTGGGGGAGGAAGAGTTGTTCTAACGTTTTATGATTTGTGCGAAAATGTGTGGGGTGGTTCGCCAGCTGTTGAAAGTATTAGCGGTGGGATCGACACGTCAGCGCAAGAAAATCACACTTCAGTGACTTCAGATAGTTCTCTAGACCGGCAAGATTCTGTCTCGCCCGGTCCGAGTGTAACGAGTAACAGTTCATTCTTTGGCGATGTAAATGAAGGTGAGCGCTCACTTGATTCACCTCTCCTACCTGGTGAAGCTAGATGAAGATGAAGAAAGTGATTTAAACCAACCACTGGCTGCACCATGTAGTTCTAAAGATAGACGAGCAAAGATTTCAAAGTTGTTAACAGACAGAAAGGATGCTAAAATGAGTAAAAAACTGAACTGTGAAACACAAATGTTAAATTGCACCAAGGAAGACCTACAACTTAAGCGGAAAATTTCAGATGGTATGGATAAATCTGATGCTGAGCTGTCAGAAACAATGAATAAAGTACATAAAACTATGGAATCTATTGGAGATAGTATCAAGCAAGGTTTTACATTGATGGCAGACATCTTAAAGCAAACCCAAGCTCCTGTCACCGACTCCTTCCCTTCTCTATATGCTAACTATCATTTTCCAGCTTCACAAGCCACTCAAAACTTGCCGAATAATTATTTTGGACAACCCAGACAGGTAGCCCAGCAATATTCCCAGCCCCAGCAATATTCCCAGCCCCAGCAATATTCGGCCCAGCCCCAAAATATTCCCTTTTCTAACATAAGCAATGATGAGATTCCTCAGTCATGATATTTTAGCCATTTCAAACAGTTCTGTCTTATGTTGGTATAAGTTAGTATGAAGCTGATTCTTTATGTTAGTATATAAAGTTCTAAAACATTTCTGTCTTATAAGCAAGTTATGCTTGCCCAGGCTGCAGAGTATGGCAGCGGTGCACCCAAGATAAATTTATGCTATAACAATTGCGCACTTGCCATGCCCTTTCCGATTACATATTAAACTATTTTAACATAAAATGCACTGTGCAGCAATGCAGAAACTCGAGGAAAAACTTTAGTTCTAAGTTTGAAATGTATGTATTATAATATGACAAATTGAGCATTTTTGCATATTTTAGGATAAGTTGTTTGTGATTTTAGTGTGCATCCACACTGGGCAAGCTGAAAAGTTTGCCTGACCACGGTGGGAATCAAACCCGCAACCTTTGGGATACTAGTCCAATGCTCTACCAACTGAGCTATGAGGTATCAAACACACACACACACAAATTATCATATCTTATGATACATTGATATCGAAGGAACTAGACTCTGTTCCAAAATATCACCAACTCAAACCGACTTGACCTTGTAGCTCAGTTGGTAGAGCATAGGACTAGTATGCCAAAGGTTGATTTTTGCCTGACCACAGTATGCCACCGTGGTCAGGGCCGTCAGGCAAACGTTTTAGCTTGCCCGGTGTGGATGCACACTCAGAGTAATATCACAAACATCATATTCACCTGAGTAGATAACACCAACACACACAGAAATCATTAGAATAAGTTGTTACATATAATACTTGCTAAACATGTAGTCCTAACATAGTGCCACTGAACTAAATATATTCAAATATAACTCCAGTGTAGGCAGCATATCGTGTTTAATTAATGCATTTTTTAATTACGACTACATACTAAGACGCACAGGTATTGATAAATACACATGTGAACTAGGTGCCCCTCAACCCTTTCAACTTTTTCATGGAGCACTTGAGCAGGCGCACCTGAGAATTTTTAGGCAGTTTTGTGCACCAGCACTTCGGGTGCG